TGCAAAGGGTTCTTCGAGAGTTCATGGTTCTATACAGAACTATTTTCTTTACTGAAGAACTCCTGAAGCACCATCTTTAAGAGTGTAGGAACAAAAATACCAAATACATATAAATCTTGTGAAATGACCGTATTTATCCTAAAACATTTAGACGTGTGGAAGAAAGACATATAATAATGATCAGCTGGTGGGCGACACTGAACAACAACAGCGTTATAAACTGGTAAGAGAGGTTCAACCCCTAAAAACCCAGGTTTATTACATACTAAGGCCTATTATTCAGTAATAACAGGGACTTCAGTGCAAACTGGCTGAGCTATTCTCCAGTTATAGAGGTGTGTAATAAACCTTTGGGTCTGCCGGTGGGCTCTGGCCATTTAAGGGGTTAAAATGAGTCTTTCTGTCCTGGAACAGCTAAAGATGATTGTGTTCTGTTGCGTATATTGCATTTCCAGTAAAACGCTGCTTCCAGTTTTCATTTTCAGTCCTCGAACCAGCTCGGAGGTCTTTGAAAAGTGAAAAGTGTAGAATAAGTAACAATATGTAGAATTTTCCATGAAAGTGACCAATTATCAAAAGAAATTAAAGTTAAAAATGTGTGAAAGTTAAATGTAACATGAAGTGAAGGCTTGGAATGAGGAACATACTTTGTGGGTAACATTGAAGTATATGGGGATCCTTTATTGCCCTTGTAATTAGGGCTGGACTGTAATTATGACAGTATATATTTAGTTATCATAGTAAATTATCATAATAAGAGTCACATTAGAATATGCTTTTCTGACCTTATTGTGTCATCAGTATATCGTCAGTACTTGTAGACACTGACCAACTGCGTGTTTCAGTATAAAGAGAGCAAAATTAGTCACATTTAACTGCATTTAGTGCCAAATATTGAATAAAAATTATTGTGTTCACAGTTTTTGATAGTATTTTTTAAAATACAGCAATACTGGCTTTTTTCTCTATGGAGCCCTGCGATTTAGTAAGGCATGGGAATGAGATCTTGCCTTACTAAGTCGTGGCCACCCCTTAGGATCTTGTTCCCACTCCTTACTAAGCTGTGGCCACACATTATTTTTACTCATACAGGATGTCTTCGTAATTCTCTGATCAGCTGTCTAAAAGAAAACAATGACACATCGTTTATCGTGAAAGTTTCTTTGAAGTATTGCAGTATTATATTTTTGCCATATCGCCCAGCTCTGGTTGTGATGTTCTTATTAATGCAGTCGTCTTTTCTTTAACCTGCCGATTACAAGGAAGCGAAGCAGGTCGCAAACGAGATATTCTAAACTCTGCAGCTGTCAAAGGTAACTTTCCACAGACGTAGATTTGAGGTATTTTTACTGGTTACCTTAAACCGTTAAATTACTGCTTTCTTCTCTGTTCTCTTCTGTGTTCTCTTGTTTATTTCCAGGTTTAAAGAGTAGAAATCCAGATTTTTCAATGTGGTCTCAGACTTTTGGACCCCACTGAGTGTTTGAGAGTGAGGTTAGTGCCAGCCTTACACCAATCGACTTCTCAAGCGGTTTCACCGTCGCAGACAAATTTCCAATGTCGGAATAAAATCAGAGAGTCTTGCTGGAGTTGCGTCGCGCTCGCGTCATCTCGATCGTTTAGTACAATAACCTTTTTTATTAACTGAAAATGTAAACTGGCTGCATTAATATTTCAGGCTCAGGTAACAGTGATGTCAGGAAATGTGCAGAGAACTTTAAGAACAGCTTTATCGACAAAAAATCATTTTTTTCCTTTCTTTTTTTTGCTTTCTGTTACAGTGTTTTGTTTGTTTTTTATGGTTTAGTTCGTAAGGTTTAGTTCACTCAGCGATGCTGAATCGCTGCATGTTGTGTTGATGTGTAAATCTTTATATCAAATTAAAAAAAAGTATCTGCACATTTTACAGGTTAATTAACATTCTGGGTGATGATCGGCCAGAATACACAATTCTACAGTGAACTGCTCTGAGCCCCAGATCTTTACACACCCAGCCAGCGTATCCTCCCATCTGTACCACTATAGAGTGGAAGGAAAAGTGTTTATCTGCTTGTGAATTTCCACCAGGTGCATGATGGGGAATAATCTCAAAAATGTAGTTGCAGTCTTGTAAACAGTGACCCTGCAAGATTCCTAGTCTTTTAGTCTGTGACTAAAAACCGTGACACTGTCTTTAGATGTGAGAATTTAGTCAGACTTTAGTCTTTCAAAGTCTTTTCAAAGTCTTCTAGTGTGTGTTTAGCATAAGTGACGTGAGCTGTGCTGACGTTCGGGTGTTACTGCATTCACTGTCTGGTTAATGCTAAACACACACTAGAAGACTTCAAAAGACTTTAAAAGACTAAAGTCTGACTAAATTCTCACATCTAAAGACAGTGTCACGGTTTTTAGTCACAGACTATGATTTTGCAAAGACTAGAAATCCTGCAGGGTCACTGTTTACAAGACTGCAGCTACGTTTTTGAGATTATTCCCCATCATGCACCTGGTGGAAATATACAAGCAGATAAACCCTTTTCCTCCCACTCTATAGTGGTACAGATGGGAAGATACGCTGGCTGGGCGTGTAAAGATCTGGGGCTCAGATTAGTTCACTATAGAACTGTATACTCTGAAAGATCATCACCCAGAATGTTAATTAACCTGTAAAATGTGCTGCTACATTTTTAATTTGATATAAAGATTTACACATCAACACAACATGCAGCGATTCAGCATCGCTGATTGGGTGTCATGAACTAAACCATAAGAAACAAACAAACAAAATAAGACACCCCTGTAACAGAAAACAGAAAAAAAACATTGATGATTCTTCAATAATGGCATTCTAAAGTCCTCTGCACATTTCCTTACGTGTTACAGACTCAGTGAACCCGAAATATTAATAATATTAATATTAACAGTTTACATTTAAGTTAATATGATTATTGTATTGAAGTGGAGCAGATTTGCCGTTTTTACAGAGATTTCAGGCAGTCGCGCATGCATTCTCTCTCTCTCTCTCTTTCTGTCTTTCTCTCTCTCCCTTTCTATCACGCTGCGCGCCTGCGCTCGCCCACAAGCACTCGCGCGCGAACTGCACATAAATAACTAGACTGCAGGAGTCAGTTACAGGATTTTGAGTCGTTTTTGGGTCTGTATTTTCTCCGTCGTCGATGGCTGCGCCAGCTTTCACCTCTACAGAGTTTAGTTTTGTTTTTTTATTGACTAAAGTGAGTCATTCTGTGTTCTGAACCACACTGACGAGTCTGTGTGAAACAAATGAAGATCTGGATGTGTTTTGAGCGCTGAGAGGCGTTTTAGGCCTGTATTTGTGATGAGTTCGCTGACGATCCTAGTCCAGCGTTTGTTAGCAGTGTTGGCTGATCGAGTGCAGTTTATAAACTGTATTGATTGTATTTTGGCCAAACTATTCCTTTAATAAAGGCTTTACAGAGGCATAGAGGTTGGTGATGTGGCAAAATGTAATATCACAATATCTCAGGAAGATTTTTACGATACATGATGCGTCACGATATTTAGAATTTCTGACATCTGATAAGTTGGAACAGACAAAATAGCGTCACATTATGAAAATAATGTCAGATACTATGAATTTAATTACTTTTATTCAACATTTTACAGACTGGTGCACTAAACCCAGTTAAATAGGACTAATTATGCTCTCTTTTTAATTAAGCCTGCAGTTATGAAGTACTGATGAAATCCACGATACGCTCAGAAAACGATACTGTGACGTATTGTGATGAACTTAAATCACAATAACAATAAATATCGTTATATTGCCCGGCTCTACACTCCTAAATAAGATGGTTCTTTAGTCAAGAAAATGGTTCTATATAGAACCATTAACACTCAAAGAACCCTTTCCTTGATTTAAGGGTTCTTTACATCATGAAACAGGTTCTTCAGATTGATGGAGAGTCTGCTGTAGATGGTTCTACATAGAACCATTTTAAAAAGGGTTCTATATAGCACCAAAAAGTGTTCCGCTATTGGTACAAGCCAAAGAACCCTTTTTAGGTACTATATAGAACCCTTTTTGCTAAGAGTGTACACACTTAAACAAGGTGGTTTTTCAAGGGTTCTGTAAGGAATATGGTATATAGAACCATAAACACTCAAAGACCCCTTTGCATGATTAAAGGGTTCTTTGCATTATGAAAGTGTTCTCCAGATTGATAGAGAATGTGCTGTAGATTCTTTTTGAAAACGGTTCTATATAGCACCACAAAGGGTTCCTCTATTGTTACAGGCTTGACACTGTAATAATAAAGGTGCTATATAGAACTATTGTCAATAAGGTTCTGTATAGAACCATATACAGCACATTCTCCATCACTCTGGAAAACCCTTTAACGATGCCGAGAAACAATTTAATCATGCAGAGCGTTCCGTGAGTGATTATGGTTCTGTATAGAACCATTTTCTTTACTAAAGAACCATGTTTAAGGGTGTAGCATGTCGCCTGTCCCAACGTGTTACCAGCTCGTCTCCCGGAGTGGTGAGTGACCGCAGTGCGTCCTTTTCCCATCTTGCGCGAAGCCGTTTGTGCAGAACTGAAACAGAAAACATTTACTAGAACAATGCTACATAAAATTGACATAAACATGCCATAAACATGTCATAGCAGATGTCATGTGCCATCATAAGAAATTCTGCTCAGTAATATAACAGCGTCATGTTGCCTTTACCAGTAAATGTCATGAAAAATGTCGTCATGACATCTGCAGCGACGTTTACGACGTGGTTATGTCAGCGTTATGTAGCTGTGTAACCCATTTCTGACGACATTGACTGAGGAACAGAGCGTCCTCTGAGTCTTACAGTACAGCACAGGATAGAGTGGACACGTCCTCTGAAGCAGTACGAACATATTTCCTCTTTTATTTACATTCCTTTTTCAAATGTTAACATTTTTCGCTATAACTCTTTCATCAGGGTTGGCATTTTTTTTTTCATTCTTTTCTCAGTAAAATAAACTTGGCACAAGTAAAACATATGTAGACAAAAGTTTTATTTACACCATACAACATTTTTGATTTTTAAATATTTTATACAGGGCTGCAGATGAGAGAGCTTGCCGAGTGCCTTCAAGCAGATTCTGCAGTATTAAAGTTGTGAAATATATTATTCATATAAAAGTGAGTATTACCTTTATTGCATTTAAAGCAATGAAGAATGTAGCTTGACAAACATTCATTTTTTTTTTTAAATGACAGAAAAAATCCTCTTCGCCTCTCTCAATATATTTTTTTCATCATATTATAAAGTAAAAAGTGTAGTAATGGCCAAACTGACTTGTTATAAACTTTTTAAAAACCTGCATAAGTATGTACATTGTGCTCCTGGACTCAGTCACCACTGAACTAAAAAAACTGAGCCCAACGAAGCTTGTGGGTCGACGTAGCGTAGCGCCGCAGTTTCGTCTTCTACTTTTGAGGTGTGGTCTTGATAGATATACCTTTGCAAACCCAATTTCTCTCCGAACGGATACGTTTGAAACACATGATGGTTATATTGTACACCTGGCTGGCCCCCACTAAGTACACTAGTGAGAATACAAAAAAAAAAAGAAACACTGATGTTTTTTTGTCTTTTTTAGTCACGTTCTCCTCCTTCTGTCTTGTTTTTTTTGTTTTTTTTGTTTGTTTTTTGTTTTTTTAAATCTTATTGGCACATAACGTCCCTGCCATACTCCTAGGATCCAGATATGTCTTGCCAAGGCTGCATGAAAAGATTTCCACTTTATTTTTTGTTCAGTGCAAAATACGTCCTCCTTCGTTTGCATCCCGGTTAGCGCTCCTCCTCCCTTTCTCGCGCCGACTCCGATTTAGACCTCCGTCTGGAAGTCTCCCTCCTGGACGTCTAACGGGAGGTTGACACACTTTTCCCACTCAGCAGGAGTCATCTCCAGAGAGTCCTTAGTGTCTGACTCCAGTACATTCATTGTGGCGTAGTTCTGGTACTCACAGGCCGGATTGTAGCTCTCCCAGGGGTTCTTGTTGGGCATTGCCTTATCCTGCGGAAGAAAAGAGGACGAGACGTGGCCGTGTTAGAACCCATTTCTTTTAAGGCTTCTTCACATTTTCAGTGCTATGTTCCCTGCATCTCCATCATCTTTTATAGACGGACCATTCTACCAAATTAGTTCAGACTGTAATGCAGTAATAAAAATGTTTAAAAAAATAATTAAATATTCAGATTTTAAATACTTGCAAGGATTTTTTTTAAACCCAAGTCATTAACAGAGACAGTTACAAGGTAAATATATACATCATTTATACACACTTGTAGGTGGATAATGTAGGTGGAGGTTTCTTTAGTAAAGAAAACAGTTCTGTATAGAACCATGAACACTCAAAGAACCATTTGCCTGATTAAATGGTTCTTCAGATTGATGGAGAATGTGCTATATATGGTTCTATATAAAACATTTTTGAAAAGGGTTGTATATAGTACCAAAAAAAGAAGAACAATGCAAAGAAACCTTGTATCATGCAATGGGTTCTTTGAGTGTTCATGGTTCTATATAGAACCAATTTTTCGTTTTTGTGTTTTTTAGATCGTTTTAATTACTTTGAAAAGTTGAAAGATTTACATCATGAGTTAAAACTTTATATATGTGTGTGTATATATATATATATATATATATATATATATATAAACTTTGGTATGTAGGCGGAGTCTTATTTTAGCCACGCCCCTGCGTTTTAGTGCATGAAGTGAGGCTCCATGGCCACATGGTGAGCAGTTAGATCTCACTGTTTTGAAGTAAATGAGTCCCAAAGTCTGAAAATCAGTGTGGAACATTAAGAATCGTCATATTTTCTGCAGTTCAGCACTTTTTAGTGTTTTTATGTAAAATATGATGATTTTCTGTGTGAACAGCTGTTCAAAGCTGTGTTTGCTGTCATGTACTGGCTGAGTTTCTGAGCTCAAAATGAGATACAGTTGTCACTGAAACAGTCACTACTGAAACACTTGGTAAGGTTTGGGTAGAGTTATGATTGATTTGGAACGTTCAGTCATTAGTTTTAATAAAATAATCATAATTAAGGTTTAGAATCACTCAGAGTGAAAGGATTATAGTCTAAAGACTTAAAAGTGTTTCAGCTCTGAACCAATTTGGTAGAATGATCAATAAAAACTCAGTAGGTTCACTGGTGGTTCTGGATAGTAAATAAAATGTCTATATTTGTGTTGTAGTCATGGCGACCCCTGGTTCCTATCACCACCACTGTAAAGACATCTGAATCATTTCACACCAAACCACTCTGAATCAGCCAATATATATATATATATATTCCTTTCATCACTAATCAGTAACAAGCCAGTCTTTCATTTTAGACTAAAATATACAGTCAGTGGTGATTCTCTGCTTTAGGCTTCGAAACAATAACTAAAAACAATACATAGAGCTTTACGGTGACTAGACACCACCCACTATCAGTGTTTCCCCAAATTCACTACCATCGTTGGAATTCGTCACAGATGAGTGGCACTAGGATGGTGGTCAAATTATTGTTCAGTCTATTCTGCAGTCTAGGCATTGAGGACCAGACTGAAGGGCCGTGCTTATTGTTTTCAGTATAAATGCCCTTCCGGTGGTTACTTAGCAACAAGCGGCAAATGACATTGTGTTGGAGGGCTGATTGAAATGTGAGTGAAAGGGGATTATATGCGGCTCAAGGGACACACTGTCACTGACTATGTGAAGTCAGACACAGTTTTGCGTGTCTGTCTGTTCCCTGTATATCACGGCTGTCAGGTCAGCACATCCTAACTCCTAACTAATGTTTTTACATTATACAAACATGTAATTATGAATAGACCTAAAGAAATGCTTCAAAAATACAAATAAAACCTGGTTCTGTTAATGTGAATTTAATTTAAAACGTCTCCTGTAAAGTAACCATATTGGAGATACAGCAGCGACCACTTACTCTACTGTGCAAAACTCAGAGACCAGCTTTCATTTATTTAGTTTCCTGTCAAAGCAGCCATTAAATGCAACTGATCAGCTCAATCTCTTACTGTGTCCACTCTTTATTCCAGCTTCTATTCTTTTCAGGAGACTCACTTTCAGCTCCTCAAAGAATCTGCAGACACACCTCCAAAGTTCAGTCTTAGAAGCTGGTTGATCATTTTCTGAAGTAATCAAACACATTCAGTGGTGTTGAGGTCTGGACTCTGGGGTGGTCAGTCCATCGTTCAGCTTCTTTGTTTGATGTGTCCGTCTCCTTTTCTCAGTGAGGTTCTTCTTGATCAGCTACACATCCTTTCAGACCCACAGCGCTGAGTCGTCTTCTCACAGTGGAAGGATGGACAGAAACACCTGTGGATGTTTTCAGATCTGAAGCAGCTTGATTTTCTCCTCTCTCTCAAAGATGAAAGCTTTAAGTGCTGTTTATCTGACGGGGGCAGTTTTGGGGTCTACCAGCTCTTCCAGGTGGTTGTTAGGAATCCCGTTTTCTTAGCTCCAGTTTTGGAAACTCATGAAAAACTTGTACTTAATGGCCATTTTGACTGGACATTAAATAAGTGAAGGTTGGTCTCTGACTTCTTCACAGCACAGTAGCTCAGAGTGGACTCTTTAGCTTGTTCTTTGGGAATATTATCCAATGATTAGCGCCCTGATTAGAAACAGTCACAATCAGAAAATGTGCTCAAATAACATGTAACGTCTCAAACGACCTGGTGAACTCTTACCTACAAGCATACTAGAGCTGAACCTTTAGCCGCTTCAATCAACCAATCAGACTGGCTGTGCTATTACCACTAATTGGGGCTGTACAGAGCACAAAGCAGCAGTGAACTCTTGATATAACTGAATGCGAGCAAATCAAGTGATCTTATTGATTATCGTGCATCGGCCAAGCGGTGATTAGCCAATGGATAAAGGAATAATAAGCATGTTAGAGGCCTAGTGAATGAGTATGAACAGTGATCACTGGGACAGCACTCGTTCTCTTTTCTCATTGTCTCATCCCCCCCCCCATCGCTTCTACTCCACCGCCCCCACAGAGGTTGGCAGGCGTGCCGGACACAGGCTATTTTTCCATGCAAATGCATCGGCTTGGCATCTACTAATTCCTTCAGTCACTCGCTTCCTGACGCCAAAGACCGTGGCACTGCGAAAGCGGATGTCTAAATATGGCCCTAATGGCACCCCCCACCGTCCACCATAATTGGCCGGCACGGCCCACCTCCTCCACCCCCCCCACCCAACTCCAATCGCTCTTACTCACCATGCTGCCCATATTTGGTATGTCTCGAAATCGGTCCAGGGTTTGAAATTTCTGATTCAGTTCCTGGAACAGCTCCATGTGTCTTTTCCTGGTGTGCATGACTTTCTGCAATGGCAAGGGAGTGGGGGGGAGGGGGTTGAAGTTCAATCAAGCTGATAACCATAGTGTTGCATCAGGACAAACTGCCTCCTGCCCATTTCGAAAAAGCATTTTTCACTGAATGAAAAGACTCTTTTGCCGTAATGTCGCTTTCCGAGGCTTTCAAAAATAGAAGCAACCCTCCAGATTTTTCGGCTAAGTGCTGTGACGAGGTTACGATACATGGCAGCGGAGTAATCGTATGAATCAAAAAGGGGTTTGCAGTAGCACTTGACTGGTTTTTTTTTTTACTTTATTCTTCCACTTTTTGGTACAGGGGCCGAAACAGGATGTTCTAGGTGACCTTAAGTTAAAAATGAAAGTAGTAGTTCTTGATTTTCAGCTTGAGATCTGTGAATGTAAGAGGGATAAAATGGGAATGGTAGTTGCTACTCTGTGTGGCAGCTGACAGCACTGCTTTTACCCTAACTGCAGAGCGCTTCAATAAATCGCAGTTGTGTCAGGACCATGCTGCTCCAATAAGCTTAAGTGCTACACAAAGTAGTTGTAAATTAAAGGGTAAAAACAAAAAAGCAACAAATGGCCCCTCTCGTTGATGTAACAAAAGCCTGAGGCATGCACTTCTCCAATGGAGGAGGTTCTACATACCTCAAAGTCGAGGTCCTGGTACCGGGACTTTCTCCTCTGTATGAGCAAAGATAGAGGCAGATACGGTCAGTTGCTAGGAAAGTGCATGGATCTAATTCATACGTCCACATGCAATTACGTACATACTGGTATCCTAATTCTTGTGAAAATCTTGGTAAAATTTAAACACAGAGTTCAAGCAGAGTTGCCATCCTTACGTTCATGATTTTTTTGACATGACTGCCCAACATGGACTGCTTTTTAAATTTATTCATCCCTAATTTTTACACTGACACACCTATTTTGGTCCTAAAAAGTGCTATCCAGGTTGGGCTTCCTCCTCCAAACTGCCTGAATTAAGCACAGTCTAACTGATTTTTGTTTATTTTGTTACCCTCAGACACTTTATTTTACACTTAGGGCTAATTTGTAGTCCAGGAGAGTGTTGCTCGACAAAAAATGATGTAAAAGAGACAAAATTTGTGTCTGCTAGGGTGACGCAGACCTTGTCACGTACATGAAAAAAACTGAAAGGGCACAGACGTTGTCGCGCACTCTGATTGAGTAGAAACTCAAAGTCGTACGATTGCTGCTGTGCTCACGATGTGTGGCTGTCTTTACTGTATTCCTGCTCTGCTGCTGTATGTGTGAATGGGCTTTGCGTACGAGCCATGGGTTGCCAGCCATTCACAACCAAGATCGATATACATACACAAGACAATTTGTTTTCATTTTCAAACCTTCTTCCGTGGCTGCAGTTCATTTAGAAAGCTGTCTGAGCAGAAAACGCAGGGTAATTTACCCCCCGCGCTGCACGTTTAGACTAACCGGAATCATTGGGAAAACGGTGGATCTGGCAACCCTGGGTGACGAGGAAAGAACTCGTAAGTGAAACGTGTGGAAAACAAGCAGTGTTTCTGGTTGCTGTAGCCACCCTGCAGCTTAAAATCCTAATGTTAATGCAGTATTACAGTATTTCAGGCTGTTCTGTGTGGTTTTACTGTTTCAGTAGCTGCATGCTATTTTAAAGTCAGTTTAAAAAATGCTGTCCCACGTTTTCTTGTCACTACTGAAACAGGTTTAGTATGTGGGCGCAGCTTTATTTTAGAGCAAGAAGTGAGACTGAATCCCTGGGTGGTGAGCAGTTAGATCCTATTGTTTTGAAGTAAATGTGTCCCAGAATCTGAAAATCAGTGTGGAACATTAAGAATCGTCACTACTGAAACATAAATTCTAGCGTGTTAATAAAAATATGATGATTTTCTGTGTGAACAGCTGTTCAAAGCTGTGTTTGCTGGTCATGAACTGTATTGTATTTTTGAGCTCAAAATGAGCTAAAATTGTCACTGAAACAGTCACTACTGAAACATTTGGTAAGGTTTTGGAGGCGTTACTGTTGTATTAGCAGTGACAAAATGGAATGTACAAAAATTAGTTTGTTCTGAGGGGCAGGGAAAACTTTGGGCAGCTGATTTGGAGTTTACGTACGGTTGGCAACACTGAATTTAAATCTCGCCAGAAACATTCTCAGAACTCACCTCTAAAGAGCTCATGGAAGTAGTGGAGCCGGTCTCGCTGCGGGACAGTCCTCCACTCTCCTCCATCTCGGCCAGGAAGTTTTTAACGGCTGTGCGGGGTTCGAATGGCAGGTTCTGCATGTGTTCTGGAGCTCCGCCTTGGAACTGCTGCTCCAGGCCCATGCCCATGCCCATGTGCTCCATCCCCGACGGGCTGATGTTGAACTCGGGGCTGACTTTGTAGTGCATCAGCCTTTCGTGAGGCAGGGTGTCCATGGTGATGTTCATCTTGCTGTCGTCCTTCAGCAGAGTGGGCACGCTGCCGGAGCCTCCGATCCCCGATGCCACGGCGGCCGAGGCGCGAGGCATGACAATGTAGTCCGTCTCCATGGGGCCCTGCTGCGAGTGGCCGGTCAGCTCCTGTTCGCTCTGCCGCATGGTGTCGTCCGTACACAGGTAGACGGTGCGGCGCATGTCGCTGGTGGCGTCACCCAGGCACTGCTCGCTTAGCTCCTTGGGCATGTGCAGGCCCGAGGGCTGCTGGATGATCACCTTGGAGATGATGTTGCCAGGCAACGTGGAGTAGTTGAGGCCCTCTGGACCTTTCTCCTCCTCGTCGTCGTTGAGGGAGATGCGGGATAGCGTTCCGGTGATGGTGGCGGCACGACAGGATCCAATGTCTTTGTGAAGGGCTACAAGTGGACGAATTGTGGCGTTAGTTTTATTAGGAAATCAACAAAAATTAAAGTTATACACCTGTTGCTTCCCAATGGTGTGGCTGTGTTGCCTGACCTGCTGACCCCCCCAGTAACATAGCAGCATATTGCATATTGAGTTTTTTTAAATTTCTTATTAAAAGTTTCTTATTAACATAAGTAAAGAAATTTGTACAAGTATGGATCCTAAATGTTCAGTAAGTAGAAAAGGAGATACTTTGTTATGACTTGAATTTGATGTAAAATGACGACTGTCTCTATCTCAAGACTTTTCAGGGTTCACCCTTTGAACCCAAGGCTTATCAGTCCGTTTTAATTATAATAATTAAGAAGGAAAGTTTAATACATCAGTAAAAGATAAGGCATATGAGTGACTCCTTGTAAAAAAAAATAATCCTATTATTATCATTCATGTAAAAGTCCTATAATTTGTACATAAATGATGTAACTTATAATAATGTGCTATTTCAGGAACAATACTAGCTTTCAACCTTTATAAATTCAAGGTCTAAATCTTGAACATTACAAAATGCTTCACTTAAACAAATTTGAGGTCGACCCCCTCAGATTTTACTATGTGCTACTATCCGAAAATGAAGACCAATAACTTACTATAACAGCACCATCTACGAAACTGAATGTGAGAGACTGAAGGAACTAAAATGTGAGCTTAAGGGTCTTTAGGTATCCAATACAGTGCAATGAACTGTGGGATACCATCACACTTTTCACAGCTCTGTTGCAAGCGCAAATGAAATGTAATGGTGAGAAATACTTTGCTCAAAATAACAAGTCAAATTAGATCTGACTAATTTTGTCTGTCGCATGGTGTCCCTCAAGGCTCAGTTCTTGGCCCATTAATTTTGTCAAATTCTATTTTTATTATTATTATTATTGTTGTTAATAAAAAGCTAACAAAAAAGCTTTTATTCACTACTAGTCGCATTAGCCTTTTCGGTTGTGTTCCTGTTTTAGAAGCACAGCTTGTTGTCCTGACAAGAAACAACCAGTTTCCAGAAAAAGCAAAGAGAATAAGCACTTGCTTCCCATAGCCACCGAGCCCCGCTCACGACACCTGCGGGGAAGGAGTCACGTCCTGATTTACACTGAAGTGCTCCACTCACCTTGGAGAGCACCCGACACATAAGCAGCGCGCATCTAGCCGGCATGTCAGAACTACCCTCTGTTCTGAGAGAACAAGCTGTACTCTGCGGCTGTGCACTGTGGAGGCGTTTCGGGGGCATTTTAATCTTCACTTTCCCCAAATCCACGGGGAATTAAGGCTGCTGTTCACAAACGGCAGGCAAGGAGAACGCAAGGGCAGCAGCGCTAGGTAAAACTCCCCCACTGTTTTTGTTTTAAAACCGAATCACTGCTCCACATAAAGCGAACAAGTGGATGAAAACCCTGTCTAGTAGAAGTTGCCTGCTAGCATGATCATGAAGACCAAAAGATTCCTCTTTAAAGCTGTGGCAAGCTGCCCCGAGTAAGCACCAGACTCAAGTTATGTCAGGCTGATATGTACTGACCTCAGAACAATCCTCCTAGACATTAGAACGGTTATTAAAAGGTATTGTTCAAACAAAAGGGTCATCTTTTTAGGGTGTATGACTCACTGTTGCCTCCTAAAACTCAAATCTTCGGCTCTGTATGCTTCTTACTCACTTCATGTTTATTTTCAACTTAATCTGATTTCATTATGGTATATATGATTATACAGAAATGAGTGAGAACCATGAAATGAGAGTATAGAAGCCAGTATAACAAGCTAAAATAACCTCTGCAGAGGCTAAAATCAGGATTAATGCTGAAACCATGTAATGCTGGAGAGCTCAAAACAACCAAATTAGATTATTTTAATGGCATGTATGCCAAGGTCACTTGTTACAGTCCCCCTCTTTCTTGAACTTTTACTGTTATTGTTGTACTTCATTGAAAAATTGCCATTTTGCAGCCTAATTATGCCAAGTCTGGGAGCTGTACAGCAGAGCAGCGCCGTCTGGGGCAGTTGGGGGTTAAATGCTTTGCCCAGAGGCACAACCAGAAATACACAGTCAGTCTTGGGATATAAACGTGTGACCTCTCCTACCACAGCGGTCAGATTTTAAGTGAAATGTGTTAAACTGAGCTTGTATTATTCCTGAAATGTGAAACAGCACAATATTATCTGTTACATATGTAATGTAGGTGTACAAGAGTGTGCAAAAGGCGCCTCAGCAAACTGTTTACAACCATTTATCTCGGCAGTCAGTGTGTTATGGCTCTAAAAACACACCTAACATTAGAATAAATGCAAAACAACATTAATGCAGTAGCAAATAACAAGGTTTGGTTCCACATTTCTCCTTGGCACCCCAGTCATCACTGGGTGAATTTGTTCAGCACACCTGGTTTAACATAATAAAGCATTAATTAACCAAACCAAGTATAGGATAATAAATACAAATAATACTGAGCTTCTTTAAAATGTACTGACAGCCATAAAAAGACTAATTAAATGAATGTTATTTGCATTTATTGTAATACAGGGTGATTCAAAAGGATTCATTTGATTTCAAAGCGGCATATTTTTACAACCGTGAGGCGCCTAGGAACCAATCACAATCCAATTGAAAGAGGGGGTCGTAGAGTTTCTGACTGTCAGCATGGCAGTGAAGCTCCAACAGCTCAGAGCGTTCGTCGTTGGTTCCACAACACTGGATGATCTCCGAAATCGCACTGAAAGAGCCGTGAGTGCAGCGACACCCGACATGCTCAATCCAGTATGGGATGAGTTTGACTATGGTGTTGATGTTGTCTGTACAGCTGGAGGAGGTTCAGACTGAGACCTTGTACAATTACATAATAAACTTTATGCTCATTTAAACCATTTACAGTTTACTGCATTGATCTGTAACGATTTACAAGAGAAATCAATCATTTTGAAATCAGATCAATCTTTTTGAATCACCCTGTATTATAAATGCTTTCTGCCCCATCAAATTGCTTTTTAAATATATTTTTCACAGGTGTCTAAAAGGGTTGCACAATCTTGGCTGCTCATCCCCCACAAATAGCCTTTGATTTGCACATGCTTTGCACAGCATAGTTCTGCTGATGTTAGTTTTAAAAAGGAAAGCATATCTTGTTTGAGATGATTTTATGGTTTACTGTGCTAAAATTTTAGCCAAGAAAATTGTTAAGTAAATAAATGCAGTAAGCATGTTTTTTGCTGCTAAAACACTATAACATTAGAATAAGCACAAATATAAATGCAAACATAAATTATATTTATATTATAAGATATTTATCAGTATTTAAAAATACAGAAGAACAAAGGTTTGCTTCTCACTTCTCATCGCATGGATTTATTAAACATCATCAGCAGCCGATCTGATTTAATGAAGTATTGATTAGATGAACAATGTATTGGATGGTAACTGTAAATATTGGCCTTTGGAAATGGTTAAACTAAAACACTGACATTAAGTGTGTGTTTACATGTTTGTAGTTTGGTTCCCCTGGTCTAGAACATGCTTCGCTTTAACACATTTTAAGTTGACCCCATCAGAATTTAGTATGTGCTACTATCCTAAAATTAAGGCTGACAAATTATTACAACAGCACCAACTACGAAACTGAATGTGAGGAACTGAAGGACTTAAAACGTGAGCCTTAAGGGTCTTTGGGTATCTGTACAGTGCAATAAACTGTAGGATACTGTCCCATTTTTCACAGTTCTACTGCAGTGCATATAAAATGTAACAGAGAGGAATACTTTGCCCAAAATAACAAGTAGGCAGCAAAATTAGGGGGCGTAGGTCTGACTAATCTTGTCTGTCCTATGGTGTCCCTCAAGGCTCAGTTCTTGGCCCATTAATTTACTGTCCTTTGGAAACTAACACACTGACATTAAGTGTATGTTTACATGCTTGTGGTTTGGTTCCCCTGGTCTAGAACAAAGCTGAAAATACTTTATAATGTGATACTTTGCTGCATTTTAGTTCTGGTTGTAAGTGTTCACACTGACATATTCGAACATCAAATCAAAAGATAAATAAAAGTCATATGGACGAACCTGCCTGGACACGACTGACGGGGCAGATTTTAACGTTCATTTGGTGACAATAACTGTGATAGTATCCTCACCGCTTTCTGAACCATGCTGTACTGTGGCATAACTGAGCCTGCGGGTTTTATTAATGTCTTGTTTCTTTCAAAATCAAGACTGTTCTACAAATACTGATTCAGAGCTCATCATTAGATTATAAGAGACTTATGAGAGACTCTGGGCTCACGTCTGTGGTCCATATATCAGTTGTGAAGCTCATGGCTTTAACATTGAACTGCGCCGCTAACGGTGATGACACTCGGTTGGACAGTTCAGGTATAGCAGTGTCTGAATCTCATAAATGTATTTTCTGGATGGCAGATCATTCCTGGGCCCTAAGTTCTCCAACAGGCTGCAAAATCCGACCTTTTCTACTACAGATAGCGATTGGCATTCGAGTACAATGAAGTTTGAGTAGCCTTTGGGTCGTCTGCTGGAAGTTCATCACGTTTCTGGAGAGCATCAGCGAGAGTCGCTGCCTGGTAGCGTCTTCCTGTCTGTTAGCATGAACTCCTGGTGCTCTTTCCCGTGAAACCTCTGCAGGTGATTAAACTGTTTATATTGTACGACGCAGCTGCACTTCCACCCATCGACACGCTGGCTTTACACACATTACGTAGCAGCAGTCTTGCTTTTCGGCATTTCCAGACTACAGTATCTCCAAACTAACAACATTTTAGTCAAATCAACAGCTGATGTTATTTGCTCACTCGGTTACAGACTGAAGTTGCTGCGGGTTCAGGGTAAGATGTGGAATGAAATCTGGATTGGTGATGTGTCTTATGTTACATTACATGGTCCAGCGCAAGCTGCAGATTGGAATATGGATTGGCCCTGCCTGTCCAATATCCGATCAGTGAAGTGACGTCAATATCGGACCCTATACTGATATAGGATCAGATCGGTCCCATCTCTAGTTTCGATGTTGTTGGTCTGTATTGAGATCATATTTCAAACGAACCACACCAGAGAACCGAGATCGGCCTGCTCAGGGGGGTCTTGGGCTGCTGATTTGGTGCAGCAGAGTTCAGACAGCAGGGTTCTCACTTGTTCTAATGATCCTCACTAATAGATGAATCACACCAGGGTTCTTTTTAATCAAACCGAACCTGCCAACAGTGAAAACGCCCAAAATCGCAATTATATATTTTAGAAAAATCTCAGAAGCAGTATATCTAACTCTCTGGGGTCTGAGGTCATTCTCACGATTTGTTCACGTCTTCTTAAACTCTCCTCTAAAGGCTCTTCATATAACATGATCCTCATATGTTTCATATCTAAATGCTCCGTTATCTTCATCACTACTTTCCAAAACTGCTGCAGCAGCTTCAGCAGCTGTAAACTCTCTGCACGCCGTTTCACATGAGTCTCCGATGTGGACTGAATGAAGAATGAAGGGTTTCCGGCGTGATGGTCAGTCCTTAGTGATTTCCTGAGTGTCCATTGGTCAGTTTCACACAGAATGTAGACGGACACACCAATCCACCAGCTCCACACAGTGAGAGGCAGATGATGTGTATCTCAGCCCCTCTTCATAGGCTCATAACTCCGGATGTGAGTCTCATATGATCTTGTGATAAGATGGAAGGGCGACTCTACAGATTCCAAAATCCAAAATTTGGACATCTGAAAATGAAAGTGCTCTATAGGTGCAGCCCATTTAAGCCCTTCAGTAAACAGCTCCAATATCCAGTATATAAATCAGTCTTTTCCTGTGTTTATAGCTTTAGCGTTGGGTGATCGAAGTGTATTTAATTGATTGAATCCCTGAGCTTCAATCCTCATATAATAAATCTAAACCCCCACAGTCCTGATGTTCAGCTACACCCAGCCAGGCCTGCGATGGTGTCACATTGTTATGACTGAAGTGACCCCAACAAGGACTAATCTAATCTCTCAAAGGCTGTAGCTGCTGTTTTCTGTAGGCTGATTTAATCAGGAGCTCCATACCGTCTGGATTTTCTTCAGGATCACTGATAATTACTTTTAAACTTCATGACGGGGACTTCGTTTCACCTTGCAGGGAAAAACGGAGACCAGATAAACGGATGTAGATGATTAAACCCTATTTTAATATCAGGTGCTTTATGTTTTTGCGAAACAAATGTCTCGACCAGTGGTGAATGAGGGAGCACTGAAAAATCCCTCTGTCTAGACCTTGAAATCACAATTTGTTTTGAATGAGCTTCGATGATTGCTCTTCGGGGAGACAATTAGGGGTGTGCACCGGCAAGTTTACGCAGGAGTACGATTTATTTTCCCCCTTTTTCATACTGTAACCAGGTTTGCAGAAGATCAAAGAGAATAGAGAGGTGCAATAAAATAATTATGACTAATCATACCATACGGTGACAGCAGCTTTTGACAGCACATTCCTTCTAAAATAGACCAAAATGTTTTTTCAGTTTTCTAAAGGGAATCAATGCTTTATGATTATCAAGCCAGTCACCCCGGGGTGCTACATCTGAAGTGCAAAACGGGGTTTATTTTTCATGGTTCCAGCCTGTTTTTGGCCCATGAGGGACTCTGTAATTAGAATCTCATTAATGTCTAACCATCTGTTCCTTACCTGATCGACAGGCGATGTCCACGTCTTTTTCAAAGTCCGTCTGTGTGGAGAGAGCGAGCAGAGACGGTATAATAAACACAGAGCTTTCTGGTGATATAGAAGCAATTTGTAGTTCTCCATCAACACTAGCAAGTTATTAGTGGATCATGAAACAAGTTCTAAAGGTGATAAATGGGTTCTTTATGGTCAAACTCTAAATAAACACTGATATGGTGATGTGACATAACTTAAGTCTTATAAATAATACAATTTTAAAATGGTAAATACTCAGTTTACCCGAAGCCCACAGAAAATGCTCACTTTTGTTCAACCAGCCTGATTTGGCAAGCTGTGTCACCTTAATATAAGGGTTCTTCAGAGCACTGCCACAGTAGAACCACTTTTAGTTCCTCAAAGAATCTTACACTGCATTACGTGTTTGTAAATGAAAGGACCTCCATATAATGTTAGACAAGGGTTGTCAGTTCCAGTCCTGGAGGTCTTTGGTGACTGTCCTGCTGTGGTACAGCTGATTTAACTCATCATTTAAAGTTAAGGATGTGGTAAAGCAGGGAATTCATAGAACTGAGCTGGACAACCCAGCCTGACTTGGCAAGCTGTGGCACATTAATAGCACTGTTTTGCTGTGACACTATAATTTTGTCAGAAAAAGTCTTTGTAAGCTGATGTGGATGTAGTGTCAACTTGCAATTGAAACCTTTATGACAAATAACAGCCTTTAGAATAAGTGTTTACAAGTGTTTATGTAAGTGTATGTCAGTTGTCGTGAAGGGCTTATGTAGGTGCCATAAAGCCTAATGAACACTGCCCTACAGTAAAGTGTTAGAGATTTTTAAGATTTACGTTTCTGCTTTAACATGTGACATTACAGTGACATCACTTGCCACCTTGTTGCTCTATGTATTACTATGTATTTTATTGGCTTTATAGCTGGCTGTTCAGTGTAATTTAGTTGGACTGTTTTGGATCTCACCATCATGTTAGCCCGAATAATTACCTTTGGAGTTCGTATCACACATTTACCTAGACAATACATACAACTCCATAAATGAAAACACACCTATTTTTCAAAACCATTGCTCCATAACTCAGTGTTTGAGATGCAAACAGAGTGGTTCAGAGTGGTTTGATGTGAAATGGTTCAGATGTCTTTACAATGGTGGTGATAGGAACCAGGGGTCGCCATGACTACAACACAAATATAGACATTTTATTTACTATCCAGAACCACCAGTGAACCTACACGAGTCTGAGTTTCATTCGAGGGTTTCAGTCACATGATATTTCTGTTGTGGCCGCCATATTAGGGACCGAATTTCTGGCTTGGCTGCTCCTCACGAACGTAACTAGAGGTGAAACACGGCTAAAATTACTCTCCTTACTTTGGAAGAGAAAAACATTTCTCGACAAAGTCGATAAAACAGGCTGAGATCCTTATACAGTTTCCCCTGAACTGCTGATCCCACTTAAACTGGAGGAAAGATACCACATTAGTGTTTTCCCGACATTTATATTTATCTCATACTCAGCCCCTCTCCCTATTCTGAGAGTCTCTCACAGCATTTAAAAGCACAGAAGCCCACCGGCTCTTCAGGTCAGGGTGGGTAAAGGACCCCATGGTGCTGCATAAAGAGGAGAAACACTCTGTGATCATAGGAGGGTAACGACATCAGCTAATTAACACAGATGAGATCAATGCTGGCCTTTAGATCACTTTAGCTGATGTTACCAGCCGAGAGATGAACAGTCGCCCCCTAACGGAGCTGCAGACAGCCGGTATAACTTCACTCTCTGTTTCTGATTTAAATGACACTTGAATGGAGAAACATTAACGTTAAATATCAGACTGAATGTCGTGGGTCTGAAAACGACGTCGTGTTTCGACAGACGTGATTCTGTAAGTTTGCTAGTGCAGTTAGTTCAGAGTTCAGCTCCAGTCCTGAAACCCCTGCACTGCATAACTGTGGTTTCCTGGTTAAAATACCTGATATTATTAGCTAATTAATCCCTTCTTGAGCTGAACGAGGTGTGAACAGCAGAGAGGAACACTAAACTAATTCATAAAGCGAATTGAAGGCATCGCGCTAATGCTGTCACTCCCTGATTCGGTCCTCAAAATGGCGGCAACTATACAGTGTGACGTCACGTGAAATGTGAGAATATGTAATGTTGATGTTGGTAAAACAGTGGAAAATCTGAAATAATACCTTTTCTTTGAGGACTATTTTGCCTCGTAACACCTCACAAATGGAGTTGGGCCAAAACCCTACTGCAAAACTGTCGTAAAACAATATATCAGACTTGCATTTGTAATAATTTTCTGTGAGGGAGCTTTTAGAGGCACTAAATGCCTCAGACTTCTGGTTCCTGTTGCTGCAGTTCTAATTCTAATTGTAAGTTTCACTGGAACGCAGCATTTCACACCAAACCACTCTGAATGACTCTGTTTACCTCTTAACCACTTGCACAGAATTTCTGAAATATTGGCGGAAATGACTGTAAAAGAAAGCGTTGCCCAGAAGGGATGCCCCTTGAAGAGTTCTTGCAAAGGTTCTATACGAATCACAGGGTTTTCCTAGAAACGTAAACCCAAGCAAGGAACCATTTAGTAACCCCATTCATAAGAGTGCATTTTATTCGATCAGCCTGTTCTGAGGCAGCAGTAAGTTATACTTAGTAATGCTGTAGGATGGACAGCTTTAAGCAGCCTGGAACCCTCATTAGGGTGAATAAGATTCATCAAATGGATCCGAAGAAAATCACAAAATGGAGGAACGTGGTTATTACGAGCCAATGACGCACCGTTAGGTCAGCCTTTCTCGGGAGCCGTTTGAAAGAACTAAACTACCTCAAAGCAAGTTCAAGAGGTGAAGGATGAAACACCTGAGCAAGAAATGTGATAAATCCGGCTAATCAAAGCACAGCAGAGACGTGGCTCGGGCTTAAGGGGGGAAAAAATACATGAAGAATTGATGTCATTTGCTAGGTGAAGAGCTACTGCATAGCTTGTAATTACAGTTTAACCAAGGGGTTGTTTGCATAATGATGAACCCTGCTACAGCAATGCCTCATCCTAAAAGCAACCATACAGCATTAAATAGTAAACGTGATGAATTGCTTTAGGAGGGCCGTGTTAAACGCAGGTCAAGGCACTGGGAGGAACGCATGCAAGATCATTAATAATAGAGTACGCATTATTAAGCTTTCCTAAATTACTTCTAGGGTTTACAGAGTACAATCCAGGACGCGTAGCTACCTCTCCTAACTACCTTCGTCATTCATAATGGGATACTCGCAGCGGTACAGCACATATGTCTGACATTTATTGCAGTGAAGGAACACATTTTTCACAGCAGCCTGGAGTTACTTACCATAATCTGGGCATGGCCGTTGGGGAAGGTGCCAGTTGCATCAGCACTGATGGGGTCTTGACAGTTTCGCAGTCGACATCTGAAGGCATCTTGGACCTACAGGGTTAAGATTTACTGTATTATTCATATGAAGGCCCATGACACTACTGACACTCATTCTGATAGCTGAATTGGCCCGTTCTGAGTGTTGATCCGATACCAGTGCTCTGTTAAGGTACTCACGTTTTGTAGTAGCAAAGTATGGCAACACTTTACTGTAGGGCAGCTACGAGACACCTACATAAGCCTTCAATGACACCTGTCATAAAAGTTTATTAACGTTTATAAAGGCTTATTCCAGCCAGAATCAGGTTGCATAACACTTTTTAGTGTGGAACTGTCTAAAGCAGGCTTTATGACATCTGATGTTAATGTTATGTTGCCATAAAAAGGCTTATGTAGGCGTCCTGTTGCCTTTCTTTCAGTAAAGTGTTACCTAAAATACTGTAAATATACAGTAGAGGCTAATCTCAGCTAACAAAGGACGTCCTCTTAAAGGGGAATTCCACTGATTAAATGGTTAAGATGTAAACAGAGTCATTCAGAGCGGTTTGGTGTGAAACGCTCCGTTCTAGAGAAACATACCGAGTCAGAACTGTTCACAGTGGTGGTGATAGGAACCAGACGTCCACCTCTAAAAGCTCCCTCACAGAAAGTTACTACATGAAATGGTTATGAATTCACTGCCTGATGACTGAGACACTGTTTTATGGTATTTATACAGCAAGATTGACACATGCAGGGCATTTTGAGGCAAATAGTCCCCAAAGAGTATTAAATACACTTATTATTTCAGATTCTCCACTATTTTCCATCATCAACATTCCATATAGACTCAGAAGACTCGTGTAGGTTCACTGGTGGTTCTGGATAGTAAATAAAATGTCTATATCTGTGTTGTAGTCATGGCGACCCCTGGTTCCTATCACCACCACTGTAAAGACATCTGAACCATTTCACACCAAACCTCTCAGAATCACTCTGTTTACACCTCACACACTGAGTTATGCAGGAATTTCCTTTTATAAAGTCATTGCAGTGAGAAATGTAAGACAGAGTAAGTGAAATGTCAGTTTAGTCCTGTCAGTACGGCAAGGAAAGTCCTGCACCTAAGCCAGTGGACTCTTTTATGCCCCTTAGCGATTACAGAGCTCACCTCAGATAGGAGGGGCCATCCCTCAAAACAAAAGAAACGCTTTGTGATACTGGAAGAGTCAGAAGATTGTCGAGGATTAATTTTGGGGGTCGGCTGCAGGCTCTGCCAGATTACACATCGCTCGGAAAAAAAACTAGGAGGGTGGAAAAAACACAAGCAGCAAAGAGCAGGACTCTGTCGAGGGGGCTAAGAAGGATTAGAGGGGATAAGGGTGCTAAAATGGGGCGAGGGCATAGAAGAGAAGGGCCAGTCGCCAGGCGAAGAGAGCAGACCTGGACCTACCTCTCTGCGGAGAATACAGTGCACCATGACTATGACGAAGCCTTGAAGGGAATCGAAGACGGCAAATAGGATCTGGAACAGGATGGAGCGCTTGTCCGTCATGGCCAGAACAGCGGACATCCATGTGAGCGCCAGGAGCGGCAGAACCACGCAGGAACTCCAGAGGGAGGCCCTGAGAGGGAAGTGGAGTGGAGATAAATTCAGAGAAGGAAGAAGCAGAGAGAGGGTGGAAGGAAGGGGGACAGTGAAAAAGAGGCCTCCGTTTTTACAAATCTGAGATAACCTTCAACATAATACCATTCGGATCCTGAATAGAGCATAAGCTTAGAGCTTAGAGCTGTGGCTCCGGTTCTTAACAATGATCCGGGAGAACCCTGGCATATGTAGGACGCTTCAGTGCAGTAAGTGAGGACTGTCCTACTGGAATGTCCTTTAGCTCTCTTTCAACATTTTTAAAAAGAACAATGTCAGAAAGGAGCCTTTAGACCGTAGAAGAACAGCTTTTGGTTCCCTTAAGAACCTTTAAGGATGGATTCTTCGAAGAACCTTCAAATATATATAAGTTCTATAACAAAAGGAATCATACTGGTAGCCATGTTTAATTTTTTCTCCACTTTCTACCGCGCCCAGTTCCCACCTACCTTGATTTGAGACTAGGGATGCTGCAGGGTCACTATTTGCAAGACTGCAGCTAGATTTGAGATTTTGTATCATGAACCTCATGAAAATTTACATGAAGAGAAACCTTTTATCAGCTCCACTTACTGTATAGGTGCACTTTGTAGTTCTACAGTTACAGACTGTAGTCCATCTGTTTCTCTGATACTTTGTTGGCCCCCTTTTACCCTGTTCTTCAGTGGTCAGGACCCCCATGGACCCTCACAGAGCAGGTACTATTTGGGTGGTGGATCATTCTCAGCACTGCAGTAACACTGACGTGGTGGTGGTGTGTTAGTGTGTGTTGTGCTGGTCTGAGTGGATCAGACACAGCAGTGCTGCTGGAGTTTTTAAACACTGTGTCCACTCACTGTCCACTCTATTAGACACTCCTACCTTGTCGGTCCACCTTGTAGATGTAAAGTCAGAGACGATAGCTCATCTGCTGCTGCACAGTTTGTGTTGGTCATCCTCTAGTTATTCATCAGTGGTCACAGGACGCTGCCCACAGGACGCTGTTGGCTGGATATTTTTGGTTGGTGGACTATTCTCAGTCCAGCAGTGGCACTGAGGTGTTTAAAAACTCCAGCAGCACTGCTGTGTCTGATCCACTCAGACCAGCGCAACACACACTAACACACCACCACCATGTCAGTGTTACTGCAGTGCTGAGAATGATCCACTACCCAAATAGTAGCTGCTCTGTGAGGGTCCATGGGGGTCCTGACCACTGAAGAACAGGGTAAAAGGGGGCCAACAAAGTATCAGAGAAACAGATGGACTACAGTCTGTAACTGTAGAACTACAAAGTGCACCTATATAGTAAGTGGAGCTGATAAAATGGACAATGAGTGTAGAAACAAGGAGGTGGTCAGAATCTAATGCTAATTGGTGTATATATATATATATATATATATATATATATATATATATATATATATATATTCGATGTTATGAACTGCGATAGTACTTGTTAGTGAAGTAACTAACAAGCCCGTCCTGGGTTGGAGCGAGTACCGCCCAGATCAGGGGATCTCCAGGAGCAGAGTTGGGAAGCACTGGCTTAGAGTATCTTCTTCCATATCAGTATCCAGAGCAGTGCATGAGCCACACAGCCTGCTCTGCACCGTATGCCCTGCCGTGCTGGGAACCTCACTGGTACCATGTGGCTTTTAAAGACATGAAACATTTATCTCCATTTCTCCAATTCGAGCAGCAGCTCACTTCAGACTGAGTGAGTGTATGTGGTAAAGCCAGCTGTTCTCCTCACACCTCCACTAATCTCTTCGCCCGAGGCGAGAAGGACACAAGCACACTCACGCATTTAGACACACGGCATACATGCACTCGCATGCAGGATAATCGTATTGATCCGCCGAGGCGTCAGCGGGGCACTTACATGGCGTTGCTGGCTGTGGTTGCTGATAAAGCGGTTGTAGAGACAACTCCACATTTGGCACATTTTAAAGTTAATCCCGTGTGCGGCTCGCTCATCTGCCTGCAGGACAGCCAAGAAAACGACAACAGAGAAGACATTGGCGCAACACTGCGTACAGTATCCTGTATTGCATGCATTAAGAGTGTTAAAAGAAATGTTTTTATTAACATTTATTGCGTAAAAGGGGTATGTTGCCTTGAGGCAACGTTGTGCATAAACGGAAAGAAATTATATAGTGTCACATGACAAACAGGATTTTAAAAATGTTCTAAAAATATGGAATGAGACTAAGTAAGTATGTACTTAGTTGGTCTTTAAATGCTAAAAATGCAAGAAAAAGAACAAAAAAAAAAACAAAGACTAAAATGAATTCATTATATTCCTGAAGAAATGTCACATTCAGAAGCAATGTTTTAATTTCTTGCACAACAATTATTTAACACCAGAAATAACAGTTAAAAAAATATGAAATTATAAAAAGAATCAAGTGATTTGCAAATAATCAGGAGTTGCTGATCAAAAAACAGCTAATTACACTCATAAACCATACAGAACGTTGACTGCCATATGACAGATTTGACTGTAATGGGTTTCTTGCTGCTAATATTGCACAAAAATTGTACTAAAATTAGTTTTTTTTAATAAACAAAAACATAGAAATAATTAAAAATAAAAAGTCATTCTTAAAGACAAACTAAACAATAACTGCAACAAACTCTCGAGTGGCTACACAAGCGAGACTCTTGCTAATGACTGTATCCATCTCATTGTTGCACAGTGTTGCTTCTAGGCAACATATACGGCTGTGCAGTTTCTCATAACATAAACCATATTTACATAACATGATAAAGAAATAACTGTTACTCCAACAGATGTGCATCGCATGTTTTGCTGGATGTGAAATTATGATTTTGTTTTCTGACGGTGCAGAAAAGCGTGTCATCCACAAACCTCCTAAAAAACGCTGACTAGGATCTACGGTGGCCAAGTAAAAGTGTTTTCTTTGTTGATTTAAAGTCTTCCCTTCATTATAACCCTTTCGTTGTCGTCGAATATGTATTATGTCGTTGTAAAATGAGGAAAGTGGGTTTGTTGCCCTGAGGCAACGCCGTGCAATAGAGAACTAAAGGTTTGCCTTATCAGATTATGCAGATCAGCAGACAGGCACAATAAAGGAGAGCTCAGCATTCAGATGCCAGACCGATTCTGCAGAGAAAGAGAGAGAGGGAGATACTGCGGCTCTCCCAGGGAGAGCTAACCTCGCTCGTCCTCTCTGTGCCATTAACTGTCTCTGCAGCCCTTTTCTGAAGATGAAAGCATGTGTATGTCTGAGCGTGAGAGCGGGCGAGATACAGAGAGAGGGAGGGGAGTAAGAGCATATGATGAGGCAACAGTAGGAAGGGGAATTCAGATGAAAGTGGAAGTGTGTGTGTGTGTGTGTGTTGGAGAAACAGCGCGAGCTAGAAGATGGTGTGTGTGTGTGTGCGATGATGCCACAGCAGGAGGGGTTTCAGATGAAAGTATGAGTGAGTGCGAGACGATGCGACCGCAGCAGATGCTGTGGGCATCACGCACAGTTGGCAGCGCTCCACACTCTTACCCGGCTCGGTGCTTCAGCTTCTTGTCCAGGATGCCGTCCCTGGAAACCAGCTTATTGAACACCAGAATGCCAATCACCATGTTAACCTGCACACATACACAAAGATAAGTCAGTTACTGGGTGTTAAATGCTCTGAGGATGACATACAGAAGGATTCTGTTATGCAACAGTGATTTGGAGATCAGCAGTATTTACCCATACATTCATCAGGCACGTAACATTAGCATATAAAAAAAAATGCTTTTTTAATTAAAAATTGTCGCTGTCCAAAAAAAATGGTCATTTTGTAAAAATTAAAAAAAAATATATATGTATTTTTGTCCATTTTTATTTTTCTCTATAATGTTTACACTGTGTGAAAATTTCAGGGTGATTGGACCGATAGTAACGCCCCAAAATCACTTCAATAAAACCTCTTCACAGTAAAGTACATTAAAAGTTAGGAACATTTTGCCTCGCCTCGTCCTACATGTTTTTCTTTGGACAGCGACGATTTATTTTATTCATTATTTAATCTTCATTTTTAATAATTGTGATCATTTAACATTTTTCTTCCCTCTCTAATACAATCTTATTTTTTCTGTCTGATTTTTTTTTCCTTTTTAATTTAAAAAATATCCCATATTTTTCTATATTTCCATATATTTCCATATTTTTCTCCCATTTTTTTTTAAAGATATCCCATGTTTTTCTTCATTTTTTTCCCCCTGTGGTCCAATTATAACATTTATGTGGTTTTATATACCAAACATGGTCGTAATTCACTAATTCAACTAATTTACTGCTGTCACCGTTTTCACTGCAGGTTTGTTCTAAGGAGTTTTGATGCCGCTTGCCCTCCGCTTGACGAAGGAAGTAGTGCTTGGAGATGAACTGGTATTGGCTGAGAGTTGTCAGTCATTAATTTGCTTGTGAAACTTGTTCTAATTATTGTACTAAAGTGTGCCTGAGTTTATACCCTCAAAGGTTCGGTACCTTTAATAAGGGAACATAATTATACTATTCTGATACAGTTGTTATTTTACACCTTATCTTGATTTAAAAAGGTACCTTTCCTCTGGGAAAGCCATTTAAAACTCATTTATGGTACATAATTGAACCTAAAGGATAATCTAGTACCTTTAAGGGTACATTTACCTTATTTTGTACCTTGAGGGACAAAAATTGGACAATCTTATTTCAGACGGTGTAGATTCATGTCTTACCAAATATCTAGGTGTTACGGAGCCCTGCTGGTGGCATCCTGTGTAAAAAATAACAATGCGTGGCCGCGCCATATTAATGCGTGGGAACAAGATCCTAATGCGTGGCCACGACTTAGTAAGGCATGGAACAAGATACTTAAGTTGTGGCCACAGGGTCATGCCTTATTAAGCTTATTAAGTCAAGGCCTAATTATCACATCTTAATGCCTTACAAAGTTGTTAGGATCTTGTTCCCATGTATTAATATGGCGTGGCCACACATTATTTTTCTTTATACTGGATGTCACCAGCAGGGCTCTGTAGTGTCTTCATACACTTGCTTTAAAATGTTATGAGGATTCTAACATGACATCATTCCAACTCGTATTGGAGTGACAGATGCTCCACTATGTTGGTCGCACGCTGCCTCACGTGATGAGTGGGTATAATTAGTGGGCACTAAATCAAAATCAGATGTGTGATCAAGCCATCATGATTCTCTTATTAGCCTCACTTTATGTTAAATCCATCTATTTAACATTCACATGCCCAGGTCTTTGGGATATTGGCTAAGCATGGCCAATGTTTTGTGCTTCCCAAATGGCACTGAACTGTAACGACTGGGTTCGTTTGCATCCGTTTGTTTTTCCTTGTCTAGATAATTGCATTCAATGGACACGGCAGGCAGGAATGTCACTGTAAGAACCATAACGCGAACTTACGAGCACGACTGCAGCAGCAGGTCCAACGAAGGCATATAGCAGTCCTCCCTCCAGAGACAGCCAACAGCTGCACACAAAGAAAGCCCGAATATCAGCAAATTCCCATAAAAATTAACATCAAGCATTAACTTAATGGTGCAGTGCCAGGCGCAGTCGGTTCTCCGTCAATTGTCTGGGGACTCGGAGCCATATGCCACCGTTCTACATGAGAGAGTTTTACAAGAGAATGAAAAGTCTGACGAGAACTTAAAACAGTGTTTACACCTCGGTATCCTGCAGGGACCATGTGAAGTGTGATTGTGAGGAGGATGGGCTGGACTGTTCAAAACTCTGAGACTTTTTTTTGGATGTTATTCCCCCCTCATAGTAAAAAGAAGAAGAAAAGTCTTACTATTGGGGCGTCCCGTAGCCTTTAGCTTTCGTGAAGCCCATAGAGATGGCGACCACCAAGGCAGGCAATCCTTAAAATGGAGAAAGAGACGTAGATGATTAGGTACAACACTCAGCAAAGCCTCTACTGGGTGCAGACATGCTGTCTTAGAAGCTTGACATCGTAACCCTTTTTTGGTGCCATGTAGAACCATATACAACACATTCTCCATCGTTCTGAAGAACCATTTCACCATGCAAAGAACCATTTAAGCATGCAATTGGTTCTTTGAGTGTTTACGGGACTATATAGAACCACTGTCTTTACTAAAGAACCCTTGAAGAACCATCTTCTACAAGAGTGTGGGATACTGTGCTTGAATTACACGTTTCTCAGAAACACTTTCTCATATACCAAGAAAACTAATTTACTGCCGCTGCCGTTCTCACTGCAGGTTTGTTCTGAGGAGTTTTGTCACCGTTTGCCCTCCGCTTGGAAGTAGTCAAACACATTCAGTGGTGTTGAGGTCTGGACTCTGGGGTGGTCAGTCCGTCGTTCAGCTTCTTTGTTTGATGTGTCCGTCTCCTTTTCTCAGTGAGGTTCTTCTTGAACAGCTACACATCCTTTCAGACCCACAGCGCTGAGTCGTCTTCTCACAGTGGAAGGATGGACAGAAACACCTGTGGATGTTTTCCGATCTGATCAGCTTGATTTTCTCCTCTCTCTCAGAGATGTAAGCTTTAAGTGCTGTTTATCTGATGGGGGTCAATTTTGGTGGCTACCAGGTCTTCCAGGTGGTTATTAGGAATCCCATCTCTTTTTATAATTTTATAATATTCCTTTGAACTGCAGGTTTGGAAAGTCCTCATTTTTTCCTTTGACTTTCTCCTTATGCAGGCAGATTATCTTGTATCTAATCTCCTCTGAAAAATGAATAACCTGTACCTAATGGCTTTCTTGAGTGGAAATTAAATAGGTGAAGTGTGGTCTCTGACTTTTGCACAGTACTGTGTGTCTGTATTAGGTCTGCATGTGCACATAAAGCCCTTCCAGGCTCTGGAGTATTAAAGCACGAGTGCAGAAAACAATTAAACTCGCTGCTTCAATGGAGGGAAGAAGACAATGGCGGATAGCTTACGGAGGAGAATCAAATACGAGTGTTGAGCGACGAGCAACATGGGAGTTTCTCTCCGACTCTCTATCCTTCCTAGTTTCAGGGTGGATTGCCGCTATGAAAGGCTTCATTGTGCCATCGCCGTGCCCTGAATATTAACAGTTTCCCTCTCGCGCAGGATTTATCGACGCAATCAGTTAGCTCGGAGGAACCGGGCAGAAGCCCAGTGGTCATCCTCCTCTGTCCACCATCTCCCCTCACTCCCCTGGGACTCCTAATGTAGCCAGGGCCCTCCAAACGCTCTCCATGGCATTAATCACCCACCCCTAGTCCAGCAGCGAACCACTGTCCATACACAGCTGCATTTACTACAAAGGTCACTTTCATTATCTGGACAGGTAAAGGAGGGCATAAAGGAAAGAGCAATCATTCCTAACTAAAACAGCTCCAAAGAAACGCCTAATTTATTCAAATATTAACTACACTCTTAACAATAAAGGTGCCAAAAAGGGTTCTTTGGAGTGATGCTACTGAAGAACCACCTTTGGTTCCCTAAAGAATGATGTTCATTAGTATGTATGAGTGCGAGCCTTTTAGCATTTTTAAAAAACCTTCACGTAATGTGAACTTTCTATACCAAGTAAAGGGGAATTCCACTGATTTATCTTAAATTTGACATAATTCAGTCATTGACAGTCATTCAGGGTGGTTTGATTCGTGCATTGTAGATTTACCCTTTTCTAGTGATATGAATGATAAGGGCTGTGATGTTAATATCTACATTACATCTAATATTGCAGTGGTGGTGATAGGAACCAGGGGTCGCCATGACTGCAACACAAATATAGACATTTTATTTACTGTCCAAAACCGCCACTGAACCTACACAAGTCTTCTGAGTTTATATGGAATGTTGATGATGGAAAATAGTGCAAAAAGATTTATTGGGGACTATTTCGCCTCACAGCGCCCTGTATCCCTCCACCATGAATAAACAGATTTCAGAAAATATGAGTTAGACCAAAAACGATCATAAAACACTGTCTCAGTCATCAGGCAGTGAATTCATAACCATTTCATGTAGTAACTTTCTGTGAGGGAGCTTTTAGAGGTGGACGTCTGGTTCCTATCACCACCACTGTGAACAGTTCTGACTCGGTAAGTTTCTCTAGAACGGAGCGTTTCACACCAAACCACTCTGAACGACTCTGAACCACTCTGATTACATCTTAACCACTTAATTATGTGGGAATGTTGAAGGTGTTTCCTAGAACCGTACATCCAAGCCAAGAACCATGTATAAGCCTTCATTTTTAAGAGTGTAGATGTAAGGGTGTACCAGTGACATAGGTAGAAAGAAATTTTTGGGTAGGCCTGTGATACGGTGGGTAGGCCAACTCAGTAGATTACATTTCCAAACATGCTATGTTCCGATGTCTCGCAATGACAAAACATCACGCTATTGGCTGTTCCTGACAGCAGTGCAGTCATCACACTAATTACCCCAGCGTTTACGCCTCTATGATGATACAAAACAACAGCAAGACTGTGAACATCAAATAGAAGCCTGGATTCACAAAAACCCAACCACAACTTCACTGAACAACAGCAGCCTTTACTACAGAGCACGTGTCCCCTCCACTCTGGTGCAACTTTCGCCCAATCAAGATGATGTCACTGAGTCGAACTGTAATTTACAAAGATGAGAAAAACACCACCTTACATTTTAAAAACCTAAATCTAATTTAACTTTTATTTAACCAGGCGAGTCATTAGGAACAACAACTTATTTCCAACGGTGGCCTAAAAAAATGATCATTGTAGGCTAAAGCGAACTGGCACAGCAGGTGTGAAACATTTTATGGATTTTGTTTATATCTTACCTTTAAAGACACGATGCACTGGAAGATTTTGACTCGGCTCATTTTCGCGTTTGAGGTAAAATCGCATTGTGTAAGTACTAAATAAGTTCTAGGAGCTCCCGCCGGAACATCTTTTGACCACAGCTGGTGTTTCAAACAAAGGCGGATAGCAGTGGTTGCTAAGCAGTGATTGGAGGGCTAAGGAAAATTGGGCGGAGCTTATACAAAGTTCATAATGATTTTGATTGGCCATAGTACAAAGACAGAACTCACAGAAAACAAATCAAATTATCTTAAATAATGCAGCTCAATCAATATTCTGTCCCTGTTTGACTGGTTTGCATGGCTACGTCCATCCACTGAAAAAAATTATGTTTAAAAGAAAAAGAAAAGGAAAATGGCAAAAAATTAGGACATTTTCTGTAAATTTAACAGAAAATTCTGTTAAATTACAGTACATATCCTGTCTATACAGAACACTCCATTATATTATGGAATAATAATAATAATGATAATTTCAACAGTTTCATCCATAAAAAATCATGAATATAAAAGAATATATCTAAAAAACTACTTTCAAAAACGTTTTCTGTGAAGAGAACTGAGAAGACAATAAGAGGTAATTAAGAGAATTTGAAACCTCAAAGAATTCGGGGTAACCCCACCCTTCGACTGGCGCAGTCTTTACTGCACCTGTAAACAGTGGGGTTGAGGGGTAAACTACCCAGCATGCAATGCATGCTTGGAAACATGGAGAAGTTACAGTAAAAAAACAGAAACGGAAAGATTCTGCTGAAATTGCACAGAGAAATGAGCTGTAAATACATGGATATTTTACAGTGTGGAGAGCAGATGGGTGAAACTGCATTGCTGAGCAGAGGACGAAGTAGTTTTGTCAAGATTTGTCACTGTTGGTGAAATATAAGCTGCTTTGAACAGCTGAATGAACTGATAATATCTCATGGCCAAATAATAACAGAAAAGTGGAATCTGCTTTCGTATTTAAAGTCACAGGATCGGTAGCCCTGTACTGCTGGACACAGAGCAGGTTTCGCCTGGCAGTCGACGGAAACGCACGTCCTGTAATTTCATGCTTATGGCAGACTTTGAAATGAGAGCTGTCATAACACAGCGAACCACGGTTTCTTCCAGTTCCTCCGCTTTGCCTCTTCACATTTACTGCTTAGCAACTGTTGTTGTTAAGGAAGTCATATGACGGAGTCGTACAAAAGCAGGAGCAACAAGTTCACTCGAGCGGACGTCGTCTCTAATCCCACAGCCGTGACTGTAAATCGATGCAGAGGGAGGACTCGTACAAACAGACGCAAAAACATTCTGCGTTTCACCATTAAATCATATTACATTACATAAAACCTTTAACTGAGAAACGTAACAATCTGTAAACCTCCCCTGGTGAGGTTTGGATACAGTGGGTAAAATATCTTATAGCTTGAACACCCGTCTTCATTTTAAAGTGCTCTCTCCATCGTCCCCTTCCTCGCTGTCTCCTCGCCCAGCACCAGAACACTGCAATGATGGAAGCACTGCCGTGTTTGTTGCTAGGTAACCAGAAGAATGAGCACAAGCTCTTTTGTAATCAGTTTGATTTCTTTTTCTTTCGTTCTTCTCCTTCTTAGTTTTAATTCTTTTATTTCAAGAGCAGGTTGAAGTGCTGGGAGATAGAAGGTCCTCCGACCGGAGTCTGGAGGAGTGCAGGAGCGTAATTGCCCACTACAGAACTTTCCCACAAGCCCCCCTCCCTTTGCCGCTCTGGAAAACATCCGGCATGCTAGCCAGGCATAAGTCCACTCTGCTGTACAGAGTTTAAAAGTGGCAGAGCGGCTGCTAATGGACCGGAAAAGCTACCTGAGAAGGCAGATGTAGTACAGGACGAGTTTTTGAAGTGAAATTAGAAAGGGAAGTAAGGCCATGTGCTGAGACCGGCGTTCCTCTTATAGCATGAGTGGACGGATGGATGGCGACTTCGGATGTAAAACTTTCCAAAATATTCTCACATGCATTTGATGGACTTTGAACGTAGCTGGCCACTGAATAGAGTGTTAGAGTTGTAAACAACTGACCTTTCCTCACATACAATTCGCCTGGAGACCATCAATCATTTAGATTCCACTCAGAATGGCCTTTCCTTTGACTTCATCCTTCTATATGCAAGTGGACTGTCTGACATCTGATCTCCTGAAAAGTGAATAACTTAACGCTACTTAACGGCTTTCTTGACTGGAAATGAAATAAATGAAGGGCGGTCTTTTGCACAGTACTAGTAAAGCACCAGTGAGTGTAAATATATTTGCTTTTATTATTCATAATTCTTTATATTGTTAATTTTTTCTGTGAAGGACAGAGTATATATTTTTTGTCTTATTATTTGCTTTTAATATTATATATATTGTCTATAAAGTAACAAGTAACAAACTGTAGACCTTGTTACGTAATAAACAAGGTTAATTACTTTGTTAATTCTCTTCTTGTTACTCTTTTCTTGAGTGCCCTGCTCTCCCTTTGCTGCTGTCACACTGAGAACTTCCCCGTTGTGGGACTAATAAAGGATTATCCTATCTTAGAGAAACATACCCATACAGTTCATCCTTATAGTTCAGTTGATCGGCTCTGCTTCTGCATTTTTATATTGCTTAGTCATTTTAAAATCTCAGAAATTCCTTAGTGAATCAGTTATGTGACACGGTTTAACATTAATGCTAATCTGGAACTGTGACATATCGAGATGCTCAGCGTTAGGGGAGTAACGGTACGTGAATTGGTCCTGGCGTTGCGGTTAGCTGCATGCAGTCGTACGGAGAATACGCGGCGGCATATGTGCGAAGATTAATGGACACAACGCAGAACCAAATATCACAAGTGCAAGTTCCACCCGCAAAGCTGAAATTGTTAGCCGTTAGCAAGTTAGCGACATGCCATGCTAAGCTAAGCGTCTAAAGATAAAAATATAGCTTTTGGGAGAGTCTATGTCTGCTGTTTACCGTTAACTGTGTGATACAGTACAATCTGAAAATGTGTTCCTATTTTTGTAATAAAGTTGATTTTTTTTTATTACTAAATGCTGCCATCCCTCCCTGCTAGCAAGGGTGTTTTTCTCTGTCTTTTGTTTAGGAGGCTTTGGATGTATAAGTACAGTCCATGTGGACCAAATTAAAACACTCCTTTCAATGCACAAGTTTGTACTGTTATAACTTCAGAGATGCTCTTCAGTTGTGTAGCAGTTGTGGCCTAATGCAGGGGTCGGCAACGTGCTGCTCCGGAGCCGTACGTGGCTCTTTCATTGCCCTGTTGTGGCTCCACAGCTGAATCAGATTAGTAGGTAAAAATAAAATAATCCGTCTTTACAGTAAAATAAAGCTCTGCTGATCGTTCAACACAGTTTAACAGTAAATGGTCTTAAACTCTGGAGTTAATGTAGAACTGCTAATTCACCCTTTAACCCTGAAGATCAGCGCAGACTGCTGGTCACCATAGCAACACAGACCACAGTCTCGCCTAGCTAGTAGCTAACGCAACGGCAAAGAGAGAGATTTAAGACGAACATCAATAATTTGGAGATTAATGGACTTATCTGTGTTTATAATCACTCCAGCTGGTTTCCTGATACGTTTAATCTGCAACGAGAAACTGACAAACGCTAAAAAGGTAAAATGGTGACTTCAGCCTCATAAAAAGTCGGACACTGAGAGACGTTTTACAAGAAACTGTTCTACTTTTGAGGAAAAGTTTCCTGCTGGAGATGTGAGAAAGGCGGCTACAGCTGAACTAAAGCTTAAAGCAGAGCAAAGTGAGTCTGTATTTTTGTTTATATTTTTATCCTACACTAGTACATCAGTACATACTGAGACAGATTTACAGCCAAGATGGTAAAATGGACATAAAGTGTGGCTCCCAAGGTGGTTTGATATTTGTTGAAAGGACAAAATGGCTCTTCTTTACATTTGGGTTGCGACTGCTGGCCTATTATCTTTTTTTTTATTTTTTTTTTATCAGCCCTACATCAAAATATGATATGTGCGAGGATGTTCACTGTTTACATTCTACACTTTACTGCTTCATATCAGTAATGCCATTAATACCGGATAGCCAAACTGTGGTGTGGACCGAACTGTGTACAGTCACACTCACAGTGAAAAAAGACACTGTGATTGGTAAGAATGCTCATTTCCACACTACAACCTACGCTCATTGTCCATTTTATCAGCTCCACTTACTATATATAACTCCAGCAGCACTGCTGTGACTGATCCACTCATACCAGCACAACACACACTAACACACCACCACCACGTCAGTGTTACTGCAGTGCTGAGAATGATCCACCACCCAAACAGTACCTGCTCTGTGAGGGTCCATGGGGGTCCTGACCACTGAAGAACAGGGTAAAAGGGGGCTAACAAAGTATCAGAGAAACAGATGGACTACAGTCTGCAACTGTAGAACTACAAAGTGCACCTATATAGTAAGTGGAGCTGATAAAATGGACAGTGAGCGCAGAAACAAGGAGGTGGTCAGAATGTTATGCCTGACCGGTGTATACATCACAACAAACTTGATGTCACTGTATAAATTTAAAGTCATGAAGCCTCTTCATTACAGTCAAGAGAAGCAAAAAGAGGCAGATGACAAAACAAAACCCTAGGAAGAAAGCAGCTTGGAACTTCTCAGAGCAGTCCGCAGTGATCCTGTCCATTACTGAGTCAGGTCCAGTCCTGCTCTGATAGAGGTAGTGCAGCCCAGAGGCCATCCATACACTCCCCAGGGACTAACAACAGCTCCTCAAGGCCATAGAGAGAGAAAGCAGCACTCACCCCATCCCAGACAGAGGAAGCGTTTGCGGATGAGCCGGGTCCGCACCTTCCCCGTCACGGCCATGTAGGACTGCCAAGCCTCGGTCAGGACCCAGCAGAACGAAGCCAGGAAGAAAAAGTGCAGAAAAGCCGTCGTCATCGTGCAAACGCCCTGTCGATACCAAAGAGAGAGAGAGAGATGTTACATTTCTGCCAGGGGCACAGGAGACTAGTCCTTGGCACCCAAACTTGGCCTTAACTGCAAAAACCCAAAATGGAGCTTGTGCAGTCAAGGCAATAATGCATCAAACATGGGGCCAGGACACTGACCTACCACCACTTTCCATTGTGGGGCAAGTTGGCAACATTTTCTGCGAGATCTGTCTGCTTTCACCTTGAGGACGCAAAGCACAATTGATCCAACCACCAGCCCCTATTTTTAATGATAGGACAGAAATTGCCACTGTAGAAAGGCACCTTTAAAATGGGGTTAAACTAAATTTTCTGCTTAACTCAGTGTTTGAGATGTAAACAGTGATTCAGAGCGGTTTGGAGTGAAATGGTTCAGATGTCTTTACAGTGGTGGTGATAGGAACCAGGGGTCGCCATGACTACAACACAAATATAGACACTTTATTTACTATCCAGAACCACCAGTGAACCTACACGAGTCTTCTGAGTTTATATGGAATGTTGATGATGGAAAATAGTGGAAAATCTGAAATAATAAGTTTTATTGGGGACTATTTTGCCTCACAGCGCCCTGCATGTATCCCTCCATCATCAACGGCTCTCACAACTATCGTAAAACAATGTGACAGTCATCATTTCATGTGAGGGAGCTTTTAGAGGTGGACGTCTGGTTCCTATCACCACAACTGTGAACAGTTCTGACTCTGTAAGTTTATCTAGAAGAGCGTTTCACACCAAACCACTCTGAACCGCTCTGATTACCATATTAAAGATTTAATTATGTGGGAATCCAATCCAAGGACCATTTACAAACCCTCATTTTTAAGAGTGTAGATGTAAGGGTGTACCAGTGACATAGGTAGAAAGAAATTTTTGGGTAGGCCTGTGATACGGTGGGTAGGCCAACTCAGTAGATTACATTTCCAAACATGCTATGTTCCGATGTCTCGCAATGACAAAACATCACGCTATTGGCTGTTCCTGACAGCAGTGCAGTCATCACACTAATTACCCCAGCGTTTACGCCTCTATGATGATACAAAACAACAGCAAGACTGTGAACATCAAATAGAAGCCTGGATTCACAAAAACCCAACCACAACTTCACTGAACAACAGCAGCCTTTACTACAGAGCACGTGTCCCCTCCACTCTGGTGCAACTTTCGCCCAATCAAGATGACGTCACTGAGTCAAACTGTAATTTACAAAGATGAGAAAAAACAACACAGCAAACTCAACGACTCTGTTAACACCTTAAAGACTAAATTATACAGAAGTTTTGAAAAATCAGTGGATTTCACCTACAAGGGTATAATTTCTGCTGTCAATGTAACCTAAAAAAGTCTTTTTTTCAAAATGCCTACATGTCTATTCATCATGAAATGTTCACACGATGTAAATGGCAGCTGGCATTTTAAACAGAATGAGCTACGAGGTTTTCTCGACAGTGAAATCCATCACGCTCCTTGTTCTCCAACTGGCCATGGTCAGGCTGCACCTTCTAATAAAACCAACCTTAAAGAGGCCTTGCTAAGTAGAAACCACACATCTCGTATCTACAACTCACAACACATTAGCTTAGCTCTGGGCTGAGGTTTTCTGATTGCACCCAGAGGACCACTAGAGCGATGAGGGGGGGGCTGGAGATCACGCAGGGGCCTTGAGCTGCTCTTGGATCACTCTGCAAGCACATTCATTTGTATGCAAGAGACATCGGCAGGAACCACGTGACTCAAGGTCATGCAGTCTCGGGGCGGGGGAAGGATGGAGGAGGCTTGTGCAGATGCATAAAAGAAAAGTACTGCTGTCTCGCTCCGGTGAGAAAGTTCAGAGCGTTTAGTCAACGCTGTGTAAGTCAATCAAGACCGGAGTCCCAATCTGCTGCTGTTTTCGAGAGCAGTTTATGCATCATTACTCCAGAAATAATACATCCACCAGTGTTATTTGAGGATACACAGATGCTGAATTAGATGCCGAATGAGAGGCGTACTTCTCATTCTGGAAGCTGAAGCAGCTTTATGTTAATAAAAATAATACGCATCACCACTGAAATGTAAAAGGGAAAAGGAAAGCAGCGTTTTTGGCCTTGACTACTTAAAATCATCTCTCATCAAATACATTACAACTTTTGCCTCCCTAAGGCAAGTTATCCTGAAGGAACTCACTGACTGAACATGCTAATTTGGCTAACAGTGAATAGAAGCTAATAGCCACCAATTAGCATGTGTCCCATTTCAGGGGCCGATTGCATCACAGCGGCGTGACTAGTCTGTCCCATGGGTGGATCCCTCTCCAGCCAACATATGCCGAGGTTCACTGTGTGCTGGCGAGGATTCGAGAACATGGCGGCGTCAGCAGAGGAGCGAACGGCGGCTGAGGAGACACTTTAAATGTAAGTATTGGGTTCAAACTGAGTCGAATAGCTAAAGATACACGTGATAAAGCCGATGTGGTCTGAAGCAAAACTGACGCTGACGTTTCGTTTTGTTTTAGGGAGCAAAGAGCCGACAGAGAGAAGCATCTCCAGCTCTGATAAATGAAAAAATAAAAACCTGAAATCAAAGTTTCTCCATCTTTAAAGAACTTTAAAAGAACTTGACAGGAGTGGCGCTTCGTGACGGAGCGGTGAGACGCCATCAGGAAATCCGCCGTAGAGCAGACCGTCTCATTTCAGTTCAGCCTTTGTAGACCGCATCCTCCAAAGGCTGCAGCCCCTGAATTGGGACACAGCTTATGATGGCAATGCGATGAATTCAGTAACTGAAACACTGGAAAACTGTAAATCCATCTGAATATCCAGTACGTTGACCACTGCTATGAAACCGCACCATTTTTATCAGTCCAAACGACTGTTTATCAAGCTAATCGCTAGCTATTCACCAGTGCTGAGCAGTCGCTGGCTCTGTCTTCATGCCAAAACTTTAGCTGCCTTTATTTTCCAAGAATAAAAGAGTGCAGTAAAAGCTGGCGAGCGGTTTCAGAGCCACAGGAAACTAACACTGCCGTTAGTCCTGCTGGAAATATAATTACAGGATGAGTGTACATGAGTGGCACCACAGTGACCTAATTATTAGAAGAAAACCAGATTTTTCTGTAAGCCCAACTTCTTGAGTTAGAAACGTCATTAAAAAGCCGAGTCGGCTGCTGAGGTTTGTACTGTAAGCTACTTATATTTCAGTTATTCAGCAGCCGCACATAAACACTGCAGGGTAAGGTATTTTTACTCTCATCCACGTGCGAAAAGACTGAGGTGAGCATGTCGTCACTGTCCAAACAAAACAAGCATCTCAAAACGGTAGCTTTACAGGAGAGGGAGGCGTTCCTAACTTTTAATGGAAGTCAATGCAAAGAGATTTTATCCCATGCAATTATGAAGCATTTCTGTTGGTCCATTTGTCATGAAATTCTCAGTGTGAAGGTCAGCGGCCGAGCCCAAATAATGCCCAAACAATGGAGAATACAACGTGATTCAGTGCTTCTAAATAGATAAAAAGCATTTGATGCTGTCTTTTATGAAAAAGGTTTAAAAGGAAAATAAATGAATATAAGCTATGCAGTAGCACAAACATAAAAGACAACAAGGAAAGCTTTAATTAAAGTGAAACAGCAGAATATTTAAATATTTAAGATTGTAACTTTTCTTTTAAGCAGAACTGTATTTGTCACATGACATATCTACCAAAGTGTTTGGACAACAAGTGAAGATGGAATGTCGGCTGTTTTGTGTTGATGGGCTCTCAATGACACACAAGATGGTAAAATGTTCGCATCATGTTTAATTATCATAGTTGTCATCTTGCATAACTACAATATATAAATCCCTGGTTCTGTTTTTCAGCTCTCGGCGTACTTTGTGTTGAGTCCGAGGTCCAACAACAAACTGAGGCTTTATTTACTGTCGAAAAGAAAACTGAAAGAGGAATTCCACCAATGTTTTTGGAAATTTCAGTATATTTACAGACATTTTTTGTTTAATTACATTGTTTTCTGTTTTATTCTGTATAACCTTTTACATTACAAAGCTAAACTATGCTTTATTTATGTTTTAATGAGTCTTCTTTTAAATACAGGGCATCAAAACAATGCCAGACGATTTTTTACAAGAAATGTCACATGTACTATTTTGAACGGTTAATATTTAAGCTAAGTCGTTCAGAGTGGTTTGGTGTGAAATGCTCACAGTGGTGGTGATAGGAACCAGACGTCCACCTCTAAAAGCTCCCTCACAGAAAGTTCCTACATGAAATGGTTCTGAATTCACTGCCTGATGACTGAGACACTGTTTTATGATAGTTTAGAGAACTTAAACTCCATTCATGGTGGAGGGATACATGCAGGGCGCTGTGAGGCAAAATAGTCCCCAAAGAAAACTTATTATTTCGGATTTTCCACTATTTTCCATCATCAACATTCATATAAACTCAGAAGACTCGTGTAGGTTCACTGGTGGTTCTGGATAGTAAATAAAATGTCTATATTTGTAAAGAAATCTAAATCTTGACAATGAAACTTTCCAAATCAAACCACTTTAAATGGCTTTGTTGACATCTCAGCCACTGAATTATGCAGAAATTGTTTGTGAAACTGATGAATCCTCCTTTAAATCATTTGAAGACGACTGTAGCTACAGTAGGCTACATCTGACGGCGTGCGTTTATCTGAAAACCAAAACACAAAATACTGTCCTATTACTGCTTCATTTCTGAGTTCACACTGAAGCGTCACGCCAAGACTACCTCTACAGCAACGCTGACTAGAGGGCATGGCTCACACCACGCTAGGCGTGCCAGCACCTCGGTGCCATATGGCCTGGTGATAATTACAGATGGCAACACTATAGTAGCCCATTTTATTTGTTAATCTCTCGCAAGCTTTAAGCAGCGTTTACGTTACGTGGTCATTCATCCATTGACTGCTTTCTGAGAAAAAGAAACAAGGATGTCCAGTTTCGATGCTTTATCTAAGGCGCTCGGAGGCTT